TTAGCTTCAATTTGTTTATCTTGCATGATTTGTTCTGGAGTTTTTTCTTCATTTGCATCAACTACTGATTTATATTCCAAGAGTTGTTGTTTTGTCTGTGCTCTTAGCCTGAGCAGCAGGGTCAAGCGGTCCTCGGGACGCGCCGTCTGGGCGCTGGCGACCTGTGGTGACCCGCCTTCCCCGCCTCCCGCTCCGGAGTCCGCGGGCTCGGCGGCCGCTTGCTCTCCGGGTTGCTTCTCCATTCTGACTGGCGCGAAGAGGAATCCGGTATTCATCCTTTCTGATGGCTGAGTAATATTCCATTGTATATATGGACCACATCTTCTTTATCCATTCATCTGTTGAAGGGCATCTCAGCTCTTTCCACAGTTTGGCTATTGCGGACATTGCTGCTATGAACATTGGGGTGTATATGGCCCTTATTTTCACTACATCTGTGTCTTTGGGGTAAATACCCAGGAGTGCAATTGCTGGGTCATAGGGTAGCTCTATTTTTAATTTTTTGAGGCACCTCCACACTGTTATCCAAAGTGGCTGTACCAACTTGAATTCCCACCAACAATGTAAGAGGGTTCCCCTTTCTGCATAATCTCTCCAACATTTGTTGTTTCCTTCCCTGTCCATTTTTGCCATTCTAACTGGTGTAAGGTGGTATCTCAATGTGATTTTGATTTGAATTTCTCTGATGGCTAATGAGGGGGATGAACATTTTTTCATGTCTCTTAGCCATTTGTATGTCTTCTTTTGAGAAGTGTCTGTTCATGTCTTCTGCCCATTTTTTGATGTGATTATTTGTTTTTTTATTATGTTACGTTAATTACCATACATTACATCATTAGTTTTTGATGTAGTGTTCCATGATTTATTATTTGTGTATAACACCCAGTGCTCCATTCAGTACCTGCCCTCTTTAATACCCGTCACCAGGCTAACCCATCCCCCCACCTTTCTCCCCTCTAGAACCCTCAGTTTGTTTCTCAGAGTCCATAGTCTCTCATGGTTCATCTCCCCCTCCAATTTTCCCCCCTTCATTTTTGTTTTTTGGGTGTTGAGTTTGAGAAGCTCTTTATAGATCTTGGAAATCAGTGCTTTGACCAATAGAACAGAAGAGAGAGCCCAGATATGGACCCTCAACTCTATGGTCAAATAATCTTCGACAAAGCAGGAAAAAATATGCCATGGAAAGAAGACAGTCTCTTCAATAAATGGTGCTGGGGAAATTGGATAGTTATATACAGAAGAATGAAACTCCACCATTCTCTAACACCATACACAAAGATAAACTCAAAATAGATGAAAGACCTCAATGTGAGACAGGAATCCATCAAAATCCTAGAGAAGAACATAGGCAGTAACCTTTTTGACATCATCCACAGCAACTTCTTTCAAGAATCACCCCCAAAGGCTAGTGAAACAAAAGCAAAAATGAACTTTTGGGACTCATCAAGATAAAAAGCTTCTGCACAGCAAAGGAAACAGTCAACAAAACAAAGAGGCAACCCACAGAATGGGAGAAGATATTTGCAAATGACACTACAGACAAAGAACTGATTTCCAAGATCCTCTTTCATCTTCTAATTGAAAGCTAGCTCTTCCAGAGTGAGACACTGGGAGGAAAGAATTGGAGAGATAGCAGAGGGTTCCTCACATGTGCCTGGCTGCCTATGGGTAGTCAGAGGTGTCCCTAGTCTCACTCTGGTGCAGACTGGGTCCATCTCTTATGATCTTCAGGATCTGAGGTTCAAGGTGTTCTTGGGGGTGATATTTAGCTTTACCATGGTCCCCTTCCCTGCTGAGGAGTCCCTTGGAGGGGGAAATGCCCAACTCACTTGGCCTCTCCAGGCTTAGCCCATTCTCTAACATGTGTTTCTTCATTTGGAACCATGAAGTCTCCATCTCCCTGTTTCTTGGTCTTATTTAAGCTGCACAAAGCTTTTCTGGAGGAAGGCTTTATACATGCAGCCCTTCCCCAAACCCCTAGGTCTGTAAAACCCTGAAAATGGAGACCCTGAAGCTGAATGTGACAGTAATGATACAATATCATGTCAAGGATCATGTTTATTTGCCAAACTGTACAAGATATTGTAACCAGAGGATGTTTAATGTAATGTTAATGATAATGTGGCAGAGACACCTAGTTGTCTCTTGGTATCTATTTTCTTCTTTAGAAATTAAACTCTAATTTTTTCCAGAATTTAAACTCCAACCTCCTTTGCAGCTATGTGTGACTAAGTTCTGGCCCATGAGATGGGAAAGGAAATAGGTGTAGCTTTTGGGTCACACCCTTAAAGGAAAGAGGCATATTCTTTATTTTTCCTGCCAGTGGGAAGTTCGACATGGTGGTAGGCTATCTTTGATGAAGTGGATGAAGACATACCTTGGGATAACAGGGCAACCTGCTAGAAGGAGCCTGGCTCTCTCATACTGTGGAACCTGTCTAACCTCCCTGGACTATCAATAAGGCAGTCTGGTTTAAGGTTTTGTGATTTTTGCATCTTATTAAAGCAGTGAAACCTCAGCCTCAACCAATACAAATTGCCATTTTTTGGGTATATCCTACATGCCATGTGCTGTGCTAAGCTTTTCACATACGTTATTTAATCTTGTTTTTAGAGAGAGCGAGTGAGCATGAGTGGTGGGGGAGGGGTAAAGGAAGAGGGAGAAACAGACTTCCCACTGAGGAGGGACCCTGGATGAGGGGTTGGATCCCAGGACCCTGGGATCATGACCTGAGCTGAAGGCAGACGCTTAACTGACTAAGCCACCCAGGCACCCTACATTATTTAATCTTTACAATTTTTTTTGGTTGTTAAGTAGTGTATCAGTTAGGGCTTATTGGCAAAACCAACAGAAACAGACTCTGGCTAACAAGCAAAAAATGAAATTTGATGGAAGGGAAGCAGACTCAGAGAGGACAGAAACAGTGACTTTGGCAGTCCTGACAGGACAGAAAGAAGCCAAATATTAATTTTCTGCCTTTGCATCACTGTGCTCAAAATTCAAATTAAAAGTAGAGAGTCCAGGGGTGCCTGGGTGGCTTACTTGGTTAAGCGTCCGACTCGTGATTTTGGCTCAGGTCATGATCTCATGGGTCCTGAGATGGAGCCCGGCATTGGGCTCTGTGCTCAGTGGGGAGTCTGCTTGGGATTCTCTCTCTCCCTCTGTCCCTCCCCCCATTCCCATGTGCTCTCTCTCTCTTTTTCAAATAAATAAATAAATAAATAAATCTTTAAAAAAAGCATAGAGTCCATTTGGTCTTACTTTGGTCAAGAGGCTACTCATTTAGTTAAGATGGGGGGGGTAAGGCTCCTTAACTTACCTTGATTTACTGTCTCACCAAGAAATGTATACAATGGTAGAAGGGTAATTGATCAAAAGGAAATTGGCTGCTATTAGCAAAACAAGGGAAGAATGGATATTGAGTGGCCTAAAACAACAAATATCCACTATGAGTAAGTAATATGATTTCCAATTATGTGAAAATTAATAAAAGGAGATCTCACTAAAGCAGAGCCAGGAGGCTAGAGTGGGAGGCTAGAAGAGGAAGCTATACCACTCAACCTCAGTTACAGGAAGAATTAATTACAGACCCCAACAGAAGAATCCTCAACAGGAAAGAGTTATAAATTATAGGCTTCAACAGGGAAAGATGTATACTGCATCTCCTACAAGAAATTGACCATCCCTGCAATTCTGCCAGTGGGAAACTGTCATCATCTGGAACTCTGTTTCTCTCTAATGGACTTTTGTTCAAAACAATCCCTCCTACTCTCCTCCTGTTTTATAAAATAACATCCTTTGTTTGTTGTACTTGCCTGTGGTTTTATCATAGTGTCCATATCCCAAATTGCAATCCTGTGCTATTCTCGAATAAACCTATTTTTGCTAGTAAAATAACTGATTCTTCTATTTTTAAGGTTTAACAATTATAAGGAAAACAAAGCTCAGAGAGGTAAGTTAACTCGCCCAAAGTCACACAGCTAGTAGAAAGCAGAGCTAGCGACTGAACCCAGATTAACTGACATGCTCTTAATGATGATGCTGGGTGGCTTCCAATGGCTAACTCAGACCAGGTATATTTATGTTTGAATCTCCACAGAGCGGTTGACTTTCTACTGACTGATGCTGCTTCAAATAGGGTATAAAGATGAATCTAATGCTAGTCCTTTTCCCTCTTGATCCTAGGCCTTAGGTAGCCAGAAATTGGGGGTGTATTTTGATAACAGACCAAAAAACTTGAAATCATCTGCAGTCTGCCTCATCCTGAAATGCTCAGCAGGATACAAGTAGTTCAGACAGCAATCAATAGGCTTCTGGTGTGGCACGGGAAGAACAAAACCCCTAATTGCCTCTATCCTTTGAGTCCACCAACATGGACTACAACATTGTAAGAACTGCTGTAATACCTGCAGGGTTGACTGTTTACAAAGAATAGACACCTACCTGAATTTCTACAAGAAAATAGGGGCTTGGTGTGGAGACATGGGGAACAGGTATGAGGATGTGTGGGAGCTGGACTAAAACTGGAAAGCACCCACAGAATCCAGGCTGCTCCAGGACTCACTCTCCATTTCTCTCTCAGGGGCCGTGTGGCTCCCTCATGGTATCTCTGCTCCTCTCTGAATAGACTTAATTCCCTTCCTGTGACCTGTATTCCTTCACAACATAGTTTGCTCCAGTCATCACTTCCACATTTCAGGAAGAAGGTTCAGGGAGGGGAAAAGTCATCCTCTTTGTCCATCAAGGTTTCCCTTACATCTCATTGGTCAGAATGGGATCACATGGCCACTCCTGGCTGTAAGACTGGCTGGGGAATCCTGTAAGGAGCTTTTCTAGTCTCTCTCTTGGAGAGAGGCATGGGAGAGGGAGCTGGAGTTAACCTACTATAACGTATCTGCCCCAGGAGGTGGAATTTAGATCAACCGGCCAGCGTGGTTGAGATAAAATTTATAAAATGGTTTGAAACTCTAAAGCACTGTAAAATGTTGGCTTCAACATGGGATGCATGTGGTACAACACATTTCGAGGGTCATTTAAAGGGCCCCAGAGTGTGCATCTAATTTGCTTGAGTCATTTCATCTTAAAAATTATATCCATAAAAAAGAATTCCAAAGAAGCAAAAAGTTGTATGTAGACAATTTTTAATGCAGCACTGCCTAAAATCACTAAAATTTCTCAACTCAATGGAATATTTTATACCCATTAAAATACGTATAAATATGAAATATTTGTGTTAAAATGTTATATAACAAAACCATGATACAGAATTAAACCTACCCTATAATGACAAATTTGTAAATTGTGTCTGTGCTGGGAATGAGTGCAGAAAAGCTGATATATATGATGGAAGTGGGACTCCATGTTGCTTTTTCTTGTTTTCTTTAATATTTTCATAATACTCTTTGTATGTTAATGCAATCAGGAGAAAAAAAAACAAATACAGTGGCTCTGTAGGCTTGGCTCAACTGTCAGGGACTGAACAGAGTCATATATCTTAGGACATATCTGACTTATTCCCTAGAAATGAGGAGAAGTTTAGCCCTTTGATATTTGTGTCTATCCCTTTCCTCTAGGAGCAAAATATCAGATAAAAGAGTTTGTGGTTCTTTTCCTTCTGTTCTTTTCATGTGAAGGAAGTGCAACTTCCCTTCTGTCCTATTCCAGAAATTAGTAATCTTACCTCAGCCCCACTCAGGTCAGGTCCTGAACCACTTCTTCTTTCAAGGATGGGAAACAGGAAGAAGTATTTCAGGGGCAGTGGTAGTGCATGTTTGTCTCTGCCCTGCAAGTAACCTCTGCCAACCATGTTTTAGTGTGATCTTGGGGGGGAATACCTAAGACTCCCACAAAGCATATGGTGTGACTGTTTCTTTCTCCTGCCTGAAGTTTGGATCCCTGTTTGGACAACTGAGGGAGCCTGTGGAACCATCTAGAATGCTTCTGAGAGAGCAACAGGCACCTTTGAGGCCAATATACCCTTTATATATCATTGGGGATGTGCTAGCCATATCATTGGTCAACCCAAGACACAATGGGTAGAATAATTACAGCTAATGTTGACTGAATATTCACTACATGCACTTTGACATCTACTAATCTCATTTAATCATCACAACAACTCCAAGAGGTATGTACTATTATTGCCATCATTTTCCAGATGAGGACAAGGAGGTCCAGAGAATAACTTGCTTAATTAAGGTCAAACATGTATAGAGATAGGATTTTAACCCCCTTAGTCTGGCTTCAGGCACTAAAGGCTTAATCAGATTGCTAAGAATGACATTCAGGTGGAACTTTTCTCAGCAATAAGTGTAATGGAAAAACAATATTATGTTATTTGTACTTCCCAGAATCTTCTCAGAAGGGTAGATCCTGTGTGGCCAGTTCCTTTGAATGTAGTGGATCAAGCAAACTGGAGAGGTTTAAACAGAGGTAACTTCTCTGTGCAGGTGGGGGGTGGGGGAAAGATTTGGAGAGATGGGTCTGGGAGATTGTGTTGGGAAGAGAGGAGCCACCATCCTGGGTGCCATGTGGGGCATGGGAGATTAAGGAGACCCTGCTACCTTCCTCATTCTCTTGAGACCAAAGGCAGAAAATTAGGGAGAAGAAACATGGTAAAGAGGATTTGTGAAGTTGAATATAGAGACTCATGTGATACCCCACTTATTTGAAGGAGGTGAGAGAATAAGTCTTGAAGATATCTGGGGGGAAGAATAGTCCAGTTAGAGGGAACAGCCAATGTGCTGGAAGTGTGCCTGGTATGTCTGAGGACCACCAAGGAGGCCAGCATGGCAGGAGTGGAAGGAGCGAGGGGTCAAAGAGGAGATGAACTCAGAGAGCTAAGGTTGGGAGAATGGGACAATATGCCCCATGTCGACAGATCACACAGGGCACTGTTGCTATTGACTGAATGTGTAAGAACATCTCTAGTACGGTGCCCTGGCCACCTGGCACTGCCACATAAACCACACAGGCAAAGACTTGAACAACAGCTTGTCTGAGTTTTGGCAGAATGCCTGTGATCTTCCCAGAACAGAGAATATGGGAGGCCTGTGAAGAGCTGCACTGGGGCCATTTTCTGCTTGCCTTTCTTCTTCTCTTAGGATTCCATCATGAACCAGTTTCTGTGGTCTCCCAGGTTCTGAAGAGGTATAGAATTTTCTTGCCCGTCCACCCTCACCCCCAAGAGCTACAGACTAAAACTGCTTCATCTATTAGTCTAGAATATTGCATCCCCTTTTTCCTTTTTCTTTTTTTTTTTTTAAAGATTTTATTTATTTATTTGACAGAGAGAGCCAGAGAGCACAAGTGGAGGGAATGGCAGAGGGAGAGGGAGAAGCAGGCTCTGCACTGAGTAGGGAGCCCAATGTGGGACTTGATCCCAGGACCCCAGGATTATGACCTGAGCCGAAGGCAGGCACTTAACTGACTGAACCACCCAGGTGCCCCTGCCTCCCTTTTTTCAATTCATCCTTTTTGATTTGCAGGACAAGAACCACGTGGAAATTTAGTTTTGCCAGCTAGGTAAGTAATAAACCGTCTGAACCTAAAAGTAGCTTATTGTTATCTTTACTGATCCATCAGTCAGGCCTTGGCGTGACCTAACCTTACTGTCTGCTTGAGGATGAGATGGGGCAAGCTGTGGGAAACGAGATTGAGAGCCACCAGGCATTCTGTTTTAGACATACTTGTTTTGAGGTACTTGTTAGACATTGAGCAGGCAATTGGATATCTGAGTTTGGAACTCAAGAGGGTCATCTGGGATGGAGATATAAACTTTGGCATTGTCAGCATATAGATGATATTTATAGCCCTGAGGCCACCAAAGAACAGAGTGCAGGTAAAAAAGAGGCCCAAAGACTGAGCTCTGGGATCCTCCTTAGGAGCTTGAGAGAAAAGAAGGGATTGACAAAAGAAACAAGGAGGAGGGACTGGGATGAAGGAGAACCAGGAGAGTGGGGAGTCCCCAAGGCCAATGTACAAATTGGTTCCAGGAAGGAGTGGTCAAATGTCAAAAGCTGCTGTGAATCATTTAAGATGAAGATTGAGAAACAACTATTGGAGTTAACCATGTATCCTTGGTAACTTTGATGGAAACAGTTTTGGTGGAGTGGGGACTGGGGTGGGGCAAATGCTTGATTGGAATGGGTTTAAAGGACAGTGGGAAGAGCAGAATTGAGCACAGCAAATGCAGACAACTGTTTTAGAAACTGTTTTGCAAAAAGGAAGCAAAAAATGGAGCACTTGGGGGGGGGGAAGTGGGATCAAAGAAAGTATTTGCTTTTTCATTAAGAGAAATTATTTCTGATGGAAATACCAGATTTCTGTGTATCCAATCAGTATTGTTTTCATTGACCTTATGCATTTATTCCAGAACCAATACCATACTTTAACTTACAATGGCTTTGGGGTTTTACTTCGATATGGCACCTCTGGCTGTGGAATGGTATGATGCAATAAGGTATATTTCAGAGTTTTCTAAGCTATTTCTATGTGTTTTCTCTTCCAGATGAATTTTATTTTTATTTTATTATTTTAAAATTTATTATTTCATTTTAAAACAATGCACATTACATAAATTTCTGAAAATCAGAAAAATAGAAGGAATTCTTTTTCATTGTACACTATAATACCGCCAAGCAGAAGATACCACTATTACATTTTTCTTTCTTCTCACATTTCTTTCTCTTTTTCTCTCTCTCTAGATATATCTATATATATGTGGGTGGTGTTATATAATTATGATTTTTTAAAGAAATCTTATTTATTTATTTGGCAGAGAGAGAGAGAGAGAGTGAGAGCACACAAGCAGGTGGAGCAGCAGAGGGAGAGGGAGAAGCAGACTCCCTGCTGAGCAAGCACTCCATCGTGGGGCTCCATCCCAGGACCCTGGGATCATGACCTGAGCTGAAGGCAGATGCTTAACCAACTGAGCCACCCAGGCACCCCACTTCCAAGTGAACTTTAGAATCAGCTTGTCAAATTCAATAATAATGCTGTTGAGTGAGATTACACTGAATTACTGAGTACTCTGATGGAGAACTGATGTATTTATAGTGTTAAGCCTTGTCATCCATGAATATGGCTTGTCTCTCTATTCTTTGATGTCCCTGAGGAAAACCTAATAGTTTAAAAATATAATTTTTACATATTTCATGTTAAATTTATGCTTACATGTTTTACAGCTTTTTGATGTTATGGATGGTGTTTTCTTATATTTTTTCATTAGAAGATTAGTCAGCCTTAGCTGAACAAGGAATAGGTTAGATTTTTATATGTTCATCTTGCTGAATAAGATTAGTTCTAACAAGTTATTGTTAACAGTCTTGGATTTTCATACTTTCTGCAAATGACTTTTTGCCCATTGAACATGCCTTGTGCAGGAAAGAGTTATGATTGGATGTTACTGTCTGCCCATAATTTTTGCTCTTGGGAAGTCAACAAAATGATCAGAACAATTCTTTCAAGTGGTTTCCTAGCTGTGCCAGATTAACTCAAACTCAAAGAGAAAATAATTGCACTGGTGGCGCTATGTAATACTGGAATCTTGCTTTATATTGACTTGGATAGAGAGTAGATGAATGGTTAAAAAAAATAAAGGAAAAAACCCAGACAAATACAGAAGGAAATTTTACTTCTAAAAGCTTATTTTAAAATCTTTTCAATAGGGGTGCCTGGGTGGCTCAATCGTTAAGTGTCTGCCTTTGGCTCTGGTCATGATCCCTGAGATTGAGCCCTGCAGGGGCTCCCTGCTCTGTGGGAAGCCTGCTTCTCCCTCTACCACTCCCTCTGCTTGTGTTCTCTCTCTCCCTGTGTCTCTCTCTGTCAAATAAATAAATAAAATCTTTAAAAAAATCTTTTCAATAAATGGAACTGGGAAATTATTTGTTCATATGGACAAAAATGAAATTGGACTCCCTATTTCACACCACACACACCCAAAATAAAAAATAATTAAGACAATTTTGCAGAAAGCCAGAAATTAAATAATGTAAGTAAAACAAATATTTGAGAATATATCAGTGAAAAACTTTTTTCTAACTTTGGAGATTTCTTAAGTCACAGGAAAGGCTAGTAATAATAATCCATATTAAACATAAAAACATCTGCCCAAGAGAAATGCCAATTATTATAATCGATAATAGCATCTAACTTGTAGTTTCAGCATGAGTATCAGAAGAGATTATATCTGTGAAAGTGACTTGTAAAGTGCTAGGCAAATGGTGGTTATGTTTACTTTCGAATCCGCTAGCAATATGCTTTATTTTCTATTTAGGATTATTTGGTGTTAAGAACACTGGTTCACTCAAATTATTTCAAGTTTTGAAGATTTCATAGGATTCTATGATAGCCTGATCACTACTGATCACTAATTTTTTCTTCTGTTTTCAGGTACAGGAAACAACTCCACTTCTGTGCCTGGATTTCTGAGATAACACATGGAAGATAACTTCTTGGGAGAGTTTCTCTTTCCTGTAGTAAATTTTGGACAAATAAGAAATAAACTTCTATTATATTAGGCACTGAGATTTTGGTATTGTTTGTTACTGCACAAAACCTGTTTTTGATGCAGAAATCCATAGTCTGGAAGGAAAATCCATCTGAATTTCTAGTTTTTTAAATTGTAAAGTTAGGATGCCGATTTGAGATCTTCCTTTTATTTTAATGTGTTTATGACTATAAATTTTCCCTTAGCACTGCTTTCACTGCATCCCATTTTAAATTTTGATATGTTGTGGTTTTGCTTCATTCGTCTCTAAATATTTTAAAATTTCCCTTGTAATTTCTTCTTTGGCCATTAGTTCTTTAAGAATATGTTGCTTAGGGGTGCCTGGGTGGCTCAGTTCGTTAAGTGTCTGCCTTTGGCTCAGGTCATGATCCCAGGGTTGTCAGATCGAGCCCTATACTGGGCTCCTTGCACAGCGGAGAGCCTGCTTCTCCCTCTCCCTCTGCTGCTCCCCCTGCTTGTTCTCCCTTTCTCTTTGTCAAATAAATAAATAAAATCTTTAAAAAAAAAGAGTATGTTGCTTAATCTTCACAAATCTGTGAATTTTCCAGTTTTCCTTCCATTGTTGATTCTAACTTTATCTTATTGTGGTTGGAAAAGATACTTTGTATAATATCTATCTTTTTTTTTTTTTTACTGTGGGAAAAGTTTTATTATTTGAAGTAGGACGTACTTGGTTTTAAATTTTTTTCTTTAATTTTTTTATTGTTATGTTAATCACCATACATTGCATCATTAGTTTTTGATGTAGTGTTCCATGATTCATTGTTTGTGTATAACACCCAGTGCTCCATGCAGAACGTGCCCTCTTTAATGCCCATCACCAGGCTAACCCATTCCTCCACCCCCTATAATATCTATCTTTTAAAAATGTATTGAGACTTGGGGCACCTGGCTGGCTCAGTTGGTAGAGCATGCAACCCTTGATCTCAGGGTTGTGAGTTTAAGCCTCATGTTAGTCATAGAGCTTACTTAAAAAAAAATCTATTGAGACTTAATTTGTTGCCTAACATTAGGTCTGTCTTAGAGAACATCCCATATGGACTTGAGAAGAGTATTCTGTTATTGTGGGGTAATGTGTTCTGTATATGTCTCTTAGATCTAGTTGGCTTATTGGGTTGTTCAAGTCCTCTGTGTCTTTACTTATCTTCTGTCTGGTTATTCTATCCATTATTGAGAATAGAGTATTGAAGTCTCCAACTATTATTATAGGATGGTCTATTTATTCCTTAAATTCTGTCAATTTTTATTTCATATATTCTGATGGCCTGTTATTAGGTGTGTAAATGTTTATAATTGCTGTATTTTCTTGTTGTTTTGAAACTTTTATTAATATATAATGTCTTTCTTTGTCCCTTGTGTAAACTTTCTGATTTAAAATTTAATTTGTCTGGGGCACTTGAGTGGCTCAGTTGGGTTAAATGTCCAACTCTTGATTTCAGCTCAAGTCATGATCTCAGGGTTGTGAGATTGAGCCCCTAGTTGGGCTCTGTGCTCACCGAGGAGTCTGCTTAAGATTCTCTCCCTCTCCTTCTGCCCCCTTTCCCCAGCCCTTGCTCATGAATGTGCATGTGCGTGCTCTCTCTCAAAAATTAAAAAAAAATTTTGTCTGATGGTAATATAGCTACCCTTGCTCTTTTCTGGTTACTATTTGCAAGTATCTTTTTCCATCTGCTTACTTACTTATTTTTTTTAAAGATTTTTATTTATTTATTTGACAGAGAGAGACACATCGAGAGAGGGAACACAAGCAGAGGGAGTGGGAGAGGGAGAAGCAGGTTTCCTGCTGATCAGGGAGCCTGATGTGGGGCTTGACCCCAGAACCCCAGGATCATGACCCAAGCCAAAGGCAGATGCTTAACGACTGAGCCACCCAGTTGCCCCTCCATCAGTTTACTTTCCATTGGTTTGTGTCTTTCTACCTAAAGTGAGTCTCTTATGGAGAGCACACAGAATATAGTTGGCTTATGTTTTTTAAATTCATTCTGCCATTCTTTGTCTTTTGTAGAGAGGGTAATCCATTTACATTCAAAGTAATTATTGATAAGGAGGGACTTACTTCTGACATGTTGCTGTTTATTTTTTTTAGGTCTTTTGTGTGTGTTTGTGTTTGTGTGTGTGTGTGTGTGTGTGTGTGTGTGTGTGTGGTGACCTCTACAAGACCTGTTACTTTTTCTTTTTTTTTTAAATTTTATTATGTTATGTTAGTCACCATACATCATTAGTTTTTGATGTAGTGACCCACGATCCATTGTTTTCGCATAACACCAGTGCTCCATGCAATACATACCCTCCTTAATACCCATCACCGGGCTAACCCATCCCCCCAATCCCCTTCCCTCTAAAACCCTGTTTGCTTCTCAGAGTCCATAGTCTCTCATGGCTCATCTCTCCCTCCGATTTGCCCCCCTTCATTTTTCCCTTCCTTCTTCTAATGGCCTCCATGCTATTCCTTATGTTTCACAAATAAATGAAACCATATGATAATTGACTTTCTCTGCTTGACTTGTTTCACTTAACATAATCTCCTCCAGTCCCATCCATGTTGATGTAAAAGTTGGGTATTCATCCTTTCTGGTGGCTGAGTAATATTCCATTGTATATATGGACCACATCTTCTTTATCCATTCATCTGTTGAAGGGCATCTCAACTCTTTCTACAGTTTTGCTATCGCCGACACTGCTGCTATGAACATTGGGGTGCATCTGGCCCTTCTTTTCACTACATCTGTGTCTTTGGGGTAAATGCCCAGTAGTGCAATTGTTGGGTCATAGGGTAGCTCTATTTTTAATTTTTTGAGGCACCTCCGCACTGTTTTCCAAAGTGGCTGTACCAACTTGCATTCCCGCCAACAGTGTAAGAGAGTTCCCTTTTCTGCACAACCTCTCCAACATTTATTGTTTCTTTCCCTGTCCATTTTTGCCATTCTAACTGGTGTAAGGTGGTATCTCAGTGTGGTTTTGATTTGAATTTCCCTGATGGCTAGTGATGATGAACATTTTTTTCATGTGTCTCTTAGCCATTTGTATGTCTTCTTCAGAGAAGTATCTATTCATGTCTTCTGCCCATTTTTTAACTTGATTATTTGTTTTTTGGGAGTTGAGTTTGAGAATTTCTTTATAGATCATGGATACCAGCCCTTTATCTGTAGTGTCATTTGCAAATATCTTCTCCCATTCTGTGGG